AAAATCGGCAGCAGGAGATTGACTTACATCAAAATAATCAGTATCTTCGTGCCAAGGTCTCTCTCTCTCTTTATCTCATTATAAACGATTTTCTAAGTTTATTGGTTGCAATGTGAATTGAATGAATTTCGACTTTTTTGAAACTTATTTTTAGGTAGCTGAAACTGAGAGTGCTCATCAGCACATGAATTTGATGCCGGCTAGTTCGGGTTTTGAGCTTTCTCAGCCTCAATCTTTCGATCCTCGAGGCTATCTTCAGGTCAACGGGCTACAAGAACAAGTCACACCTCTTCGTCTAGTGTAGGAGTACAGGTAAAATTTACGGTGTATTTGCATTTCATTTCGTGGCGGTTAATATAATCTTTTGTGATATCGACACGTTTGGAAAACATTGTCTAAAATTTATACTAATTCCAAAAGCAGAGTAATTTTGTGTTTAAAAAGTTGTTCTCTTTGTCTTTTTTTTTTGTCTTAATGTATAGATGAAGAAAGCTCGGAGTCGAGAGAAGGTACTGAATGCCAAAGAGGAAGATTGCCTGAAGCAAACTGCCTTATATGTTGTATTTTATATATGTTATCTTTGTGAGTCTTTTGTTACATTAATGTGTTGAAACATGAGTACCTTAACTATGAACTGGTCTAAGATAATCTTAGCCTATTGTATCGGTTAATGACATACTTTCTCGAAATATTGTTTCATATGCGTGTCGTTTTTTGTTCTTTCATGCGTATATTAAGTTGGTATCAGTGTTAAAACGACACGAGTCACGTAACTTAGTCTCTGATAACGGTCAACTTATGTGTCGTGTGGTTCTTTTTGGTCGAGTTGGTATGCTTTGCAGAACTTTGATTAGAATATATTTGGGAGTAAGTTGTTTTTGTAGCAAGAAATTAGCGTTAAATAACTTGAATCGTTCCAACATTTCATCGAGGATATTCGAACCCTAATCAATTTTGAGAAACATAACTCTTTTGCACATATTTTAATGCTAGTAAGAACTAAGAACCTAAAGCTAGCATATGTTATTTTCCATACAACACAATTTAAAGACTATAAAAATTGAAAAATCAATTTCCTTATGGATATCTATATGTATCATTGTTGAGCTAAACGACGAATATCACATGGGTAAGCATCGTTCGGTGAGGCCGCCTCATATGCCCTAGCAACCGCCGCCCGAGTAAAAACTTCGGATGGATGGTAATTGTCCCAAAATGTGTACTCGTTTCTATTACTACACGGAATTTTATCCGCTGCACATAGTACACCGGTTTTTGATACAACACAACATGGCTCGGTCAATACTTTTATACCTGAAAATATTATTTACGGATTACACAATAACCGGGTTGACCCATCATACTTTTTGAAAAATGCATATACTTATATCGTGAAAAACCATGATATTAATTTATAAGGTATTAGTTACATTTTAAAAGTATTACTGTCTAACGATTAAATCTAATTGAAACTTAAAATTGAATCATTAGCTTACCTAGGGTTGAAGTGTCCACAAGTGAAATGCTGGTGGTGTTTATGAATATAAACTGGGCCTCTTGTAAGTTGTTATTGAGTGTGTCCACAAGTGGTTTCAATCTATTATTGAAGGGCTCTACAACTTTTGTAATGTTGGAGTATTTGCACGATGACCCATTAACATTTGGGCTTCTAGCCAACATTCCAGGTGTACAGCCTAGCATGCCCAGCCCAAAAACCACTACTTTCCTGGCTCCATAGTTGTACAATTTCTAGTTCAAAAATCAAAACAAGGACAAAATCAATATTGTGTGTCAACATATTTTGTTTGGCCACAAAAAAAAATAAAAAAAAAAAGTAAAACATAAAGAGAAAAGAGATATTATTTTGAAATGGTCTCATACATATATGGTATGTGAAAAAAATATACTGCTTCTTAAAAATTAATTTTTAAAATGTGGATAAAATTTCATTAATTGCCAAAAAAAAAATATCATATTATTTTCAAATGTTAAATTTTTTTTAAAAAAAAGCATACTAAAATAAGGAAAGTTAATTTTACTAACTCTGAGTTGTTGAGAGTATTGATTGATCAATTTCTCCCCAAATTGTTGTGGTGTGTAAAAAGTGCTACTTAGCGAAACTTGTGGTTGCAAATAGTTGAGCAGGTAATCGTTACTTCCCATATTGACAAAGTACAAGCACGTCTTAAGATGTTCTCTTGCTAAAGTCGCGTTTCCAATTAAAAGTGCAATTTTGGAAACCGTGAGGCCGTGATTGAAAAGCTGCCTATTCAAGCTGATACGATCTCCCTATCAAAAAACATGCCAAAAGAAAAATGAAAAAAAAATAGTAAGACTATTATTAGATAGTCGTAACATTTTAGACATCAACGTTAATGGATAGTTGATAGCGATTTATATAAATTGTTTTGACTAGCTAATTTAATTAACTAGCTTTTGCTAAATGATTAATAGACAATAGAAGATTTATATTATTATAAGATGAATAATAAGAACAGTAAATAATAGTATTTGTACTAGATTTATTTATTTATAATATAAGTCTGTATAATGAATTATTATGAATAGTATCGTGAACTTAACTACAATTGTTAACAAATTGTTAATTTGTTAATTTTTATAAATCTTAACACTACAAAAAAAATGTTCTATTCCAATAGAAAATTCTATGGTAATATATTTCAATGAAAATTTCAACGGATATTCCAGTGGCATAGCTTCCGTTGGAATCAGTCAAACGAAAATTCCAACGAAAATATTCCGTTGGAATGTGTTTTCCATTAGAATTTTAGATGGAATTTGATGATTCCAACGGATATATTTCCAACGACTTTTTACCGTAGGAATTTCCGTTGGAATATGCAATTTTCGTTGGAATTTTTATTTCCACCCCGTTGGAAAATCTACCGTTGGAATCGTCAAAATCCAACGAAAATTCCAATGGAAAACTCATTCCGACGGAATATTTTTATTGGAATATCCGTTGGAATCCACTAAAAAAATTCCAACGGAAATAATAGTATTAAAATATCCATTGAAATTGCCGTGAAATTCTATTGAAATAAATTTCCGTTGGAATTTCACCATTTTCTTGTAGTGTAAGATTAATAACATGTACATATTACTAAATGTCAAATAATATAATTGTTGTTAAATAATTCTCTATATACTTAATAATAAACGTAAATATTATTTAATCATCTCTTGTTAAAAAGCTCATTTTTTATTTTTTTTTCAAATTCAGTTTATTGGACTCCAAAAAGATGATTTAGAACTGTATATGTTTACCAAACATGTAGAACAGAGAAATTGACTAATCAAACCTCTCAAATCGAGGTCTAAACTTCTTATTCTAGCTCAAACTCTTATTTTCCAAATACATTATTATATGCATATTTTTATATAAAGTGACATGCTTATAAAATTAATTTCTTTGTATAAGTACGCAAATTTTTTCAAAAAATAAATATATATATATGTATATATACGCCTTCCTATTTTTTGTTATTTGTCACCCTGACTTAATTAATCATTGATTAAATAAATATCGTTTTGGCTATTTTGTTCATATTTTTTCATTTTTAACCCTTCATCTAATACACAGTGTCTCTTCATATCCCATCTCTATCGTTTCCCATATTATCCATTAAATAGAGTTTATATTGGCAAGAAAAAAAATTCTTAATTAACATGTTACTTCTCAAAACGACAAATAATAAAAATAGAAGGGAGTATATTAGCAAGACTATCTCACATAAAAATAATAAAATGGATAAATTAATAACTTACTGACCACTATTATTGCAGTCTCGTCAAGAATTCCAGAAGCTCCCGATGCATAATTTACCCCTTTGAGAATCTGAGGTCCATTTGCAGTTGAAAATGGCGGAGGAGATTTGTCAAATCCAAGAAATTCAGCTGCATGGATATATTTTCCAACACTAAATTATATCCAATTTATATAATTGAAAAAGAAAAAAAATTACAGAATATATCCAATAATTTAGCGCGCGGAATGCTAATTAATTCCGCCTTGCCAATTACATAAAATGTTTACTAACTAATAAAAATCGAGCACAACATGCAAAAAGGTGCAAAAGTTAGGCAAACACTATCCATAGTTCGTGATCTGGTTAGTTAATCGCAAAAGTTATTGAATAAAATAATTAAGAGCATTTGAGTGGCCGGAGTAACCTAAGAAATCCGGTGTAATCCGACCATTGCTGAACCTGCCGGAGGGGCCGCCGGAAAAATCAATCCCGTTAGGTAAGTAGTTAGCTTTGGCCAATGTAATGAGATTATTGTTGTTGCCATTATCGGTCAACGAGTCCCCCATGAAAAACAAACAATTAGGCACTTGTTCTTGGCCCTCGATGAATATTGTAAATCTTATGAAAATTGCAAAGGAAAGGATTAAAAATTTAGTTAACATTGGAGAAATTGGAAAAGCCATTGACAAAAAAAAAAGAGAGAGAGAAGAAGAAGTGGTTTTTATTTGAAATAACTTGAAGCAAGCAAGAAGCCAAGAACTATAATATATAAGAATATTTGTGTGGGAGAAAGATTTTGCATAAGTTTAGATTCTATCACATTCTACAAGTTGACTATAGGCTTTAGGTGTTGGCATCCTAATCAACTAGTACACGTTTAAGGGAGAGCAAAACTAAACTGAAATCGAACAATCGAGTCAATTATGCACTTTTAATGAGTCAGAGTTGGTTAGACGAGACAATTCTGACACGCGCCAATTATAATTTTGGAAAGAAATATGCACTTTTAACGAGTCAGAGTTGGTTAGAAGAGATAATTCTGACACATGAATGCATCAATCACAATTTTTGAAAGAAATATACTCTTTTACTATTGCGTGTTTTACTTTTTAAAATGGATTAAATAGTTTTTGACTACATTGCTATCTGAAAATGTAGCACATGTTATTGTAAACAAATAGTGTGCTCGTTGAAAATATGTAAAATGAAGAAAGATTGGACGGTGAGTTCTAAGAGTACGGACAAATGGCTATGATTTGAGAAGTTCGATTGAAGAAGGGTTTGGAGGCGATTTATCGACATTCGTATGACTAAGACGACACACTAATTGTTGCATAGATTAGGTGGAGAGTTTCAATTCGATGTATGATTTGGCGGGTTCGTCTTCATAAAATCTTGTCAAATTTTTGGGCCAAAAAGTGAAAGATTGGACTACTAAATTGACAAAAAATTATTGGATCAAATTGAAACTTCAAAAGGTTACTAAATGAATTTGTCACAAATTAAAAGTAATCGTATCCAATTAAAACCACAGAAACTTATGGAAACGAAATTGCGACTAACCAAAATTTATTGGACGAAAATTACAATCTTCGGCTATGTTTGGTAGACCTATAAGATAGCTTATAACTTATTTGATTAGTTTATAATTAAGCTCCATGTATTTAAATAAAATTCGTTTAGTAGGACAAGCTTATTTAAAAAGCTTGAACTTATTTGATAAGCTTCTTTTGGTAACTTTTCAAATAAGCTCGTTGAAAATTTTATTTCAGCTAGTTTATTAGCTAATTTTACCAAACACTTTTATCATATAAGCTAGTTTTTCAGCTCTATGGCCCTGTTTGGTAGATAGCGGATTGAAGGTAAATTAGCGGCTTGGACTTAATTGAGAGGTTTGACCCGTCAAATCCGCTATTGAGTCTGTTTGGTAAATAGCTTATTTGATAAGCTTTTTGAGCCCCAAACTCTAATTTAGAAAAAGCTCATTAGAGGAGCTTTTTGGGGATAGAGGATTCACAAAAAAACTTTTTACTTGGAACTTTTTAATTTGTATTATTTATTTTAAAATCTATATTGGTTTATGGTACTAATAAATAATAATATGTCTATGATTAATTTATCTAGAAAAAATGTAAAATTCATAACTTCTTCATCAAGTTTTAGGAAATTTAAAGAAAAAAATAATATATTTATAAATTACCAACTAAAGAATATTAAATGTTTTAATATATTATTATTAAAAGAATACACCCAAAATAATAAAATATCCTTATTGGTCATTTTGTAATGTCAAACAGCTATAAGCTTTCAGCTATTTACTAAACACTTATTTAAAAACCGCTAATGCAATCCGCTGGTCAAATCAGCTAATATAATCCGCTATCCACTATCTGCTGATACAATCTGCTATCCGCTATCCGCTGATCGCCAAACAAGGCCATAGTCATAAGATATAAGCTATAAGCTCAAAAATTACTAATAAGCTATAAGCTAGCTTATCAGCTATCAGCTAACTTTTCCAAACATAGCCTATCTCTTCTAATTAATTAAATGGTGCCTTAGCCAAGTGTTGTAAATAAGCTGAGTGGAGCTAGAGGTCGAGCAATTAAAGAACCAAGCCTGGCTCGACTCACTAAGTAAACGAGCCAAAATTTGAGCTCGACCTCAACTCGTTTATCTATATTAATGAGCTGAGTTCAAGACGATATCGAGCCATAATGAGTCGAATTATAGAAACATATATAAAAAATTTCTTTTCGAACCTTATCGAGTCAAGTCGAGCTTGACTCGTTAACGAAATGAGCTTTAAGTGAGAACGAGCTTGCCTCGTTTATCAAACGAGCCGAGCCGAGCAAACCCACGAGCGGCTCGTTTTATTTTAACAGCTTGTAAATGTCCTTGGTCCAACTTTAATATTAAGACTAGCTAGCACTTATTTATACATCTCTGATGGAAGTTCGTTCAAAACTTTTCATGGGCCAAAAAAGAGAGATGTTTTAGGTAAGTGACCAAAAACCTATATTCTATTCTCAGATTCTGGTGGAAAAAAATGCATACTTCCAGACAACCCAATTGTGAGAGAACCTTCAATAAAAACTGAATCATAA